TCATTAGATAACGTTTGTGAGGCTGTTACAAAATATATTTTTAGATAAGGCTTTATAGAAAACAAGCTGTCACTGCTGTGGACAGACGGGAAAGTTTTCAATAAGCGGCAATCATTTGCTTTCAAGTATAAGGTAAAGAAACTGCAAATGGCACTATTACAATGCTATTTAATCCTTATGACATTGATTGTAGAGATGGCTATGTCATGGTACCCTCATGGAGGCTTATAGAAAGCTAACAGGAGACTATGAGTAGCATAAATGAAAACTAATTAATCTGGACCAGGAAGCACTGTATTTAGAGAAGGGACCTTTTGCCACCATCTTGCTACTTGGGATTCTTAAAGTAAGTTTCTAAACTAACCTTACAGTTATCACCCCAGGGATTATGAGAAACACATACTGGGAGACCATGCTCACAAGTGACTACCCCGGAAATCCCTGCCCTTGCCCCAAAGCTTTTTTCCTTTTCTCCATCTCAATGGCTCTTTCAAATTACATTTGTGGGATGAATGATGCGCAGAATCTAACAGTGGGATGACAGTAACCCCATCTTGCACCAACATTTATTTCCCAGTGAGAAAATAGGGGATTTTTTTTCAACCCTGAGAAATCAGTTCATACTCTGCAAACCCCACCCCAAGTCTAAGATAAAGGGTTGGACTGTAACCATCATTGGCAAAGTGAAGTTTATGGGTGGGACTCACCTGCATCCCCAACTCCTACTGCAATCTACTGAGCCCCTTGGAGGGTCAAGGGACCTTCAGGAACAGCATTGGGGCACAACATAGGATCATGAAGTGGGAAGAAGAAATTGCTGCCCCTGCCTCTGCCACAAAAAGCAATAGGAATGGCTACTTAAGATCCAATCCACAAACCTACATTTAATTTTTTAAAAACGTTTTAAGGAGAATGACTTTTGTTATTTTGTTTCAGATTTAAAATTGTTTCCCACAAAATTCACATACAGGTCAGTTTTTAATCCACTGTAGTCTGTAAAAACCCTAACAATAAATGTAAGATTAAAAAACCACCCTGAATTTGTAAAGTTAAAATATTTAACAGAAGCAAAAAGATTTTTTAAAATACTACTTTTGTAAGAATTTTTAAACAACTTCTGGCAAATTAGCTCTTTATTTGGAAGAGGTATCTGAAAATATGTCTGGATATTTCAAATTTACCACAAGTCTAAGGCTTAACCTATATATTGACTCAAGTGGTGGAATTTAGAAGACTGAGCAAGCTATTCCTGTTAGCAAGAAAGACATTTTGGTAAGTGGTGTTTGCTCTGGTAGGGAATTTCTGGACACTTTAAGAGCTTCCCAGAATACCAGAGACCTTGAGACCACAGGAAAGTCAAATCTTTTCTTCAGGTTCCCCAGTCTGGTCTCTCAGATCCAACATAGCTCAACTTGCTCACTTATCAGGACAAGAAAAAGGAACAGAAGCAAAAGCAGGTTTTCTCTGCTTTATGGGACAATCACCTTTCTGTATAGCTATGGTGGCCAAATCTGTCAACCTTCCAAGTTTAAATGACAATTCTCAGAATTTGTAGAGCCACAAGACATACAAGTGCTTTTCTGGGCCAACATTCTATCTTATAGAAATTCATGTAAATCTAAATGCATATCAAACATTGACATTGGTCCTGGCCCTTAGCCTGCTATGTTTGTGTGTGCCCACAAATGTAACACAGTGACGTGGACCAGCCTGCCTGCAATAAAGCATTGCTGATTCCGTCTTCTGGACATCAGCCCCTTAACCTCTACACTGCCATCTCCTCCCATGGAGGCCTCTTATACTCTTAAGGATGCAGTTTCACACTTGCATATGCACACTAGCATACAGGCCCTTTTGAAATCAATGGGATTTACTGCCAGCAAGCAAACACAGGATTGGGCTGCAACCCAACCAGGCACAGGTTCAAGCTGTAAAGACTGAATATTATTCATACTGTATGCTGAGTGAGCCCTGCTAAAATCAGTGGGACTTACTGCCAAGTAAATATGCATAGGATCCAACAGTGAGGAAAGTGTTTCCTTTCTTGCAGAGTTCTTTCACAGGTAGCAATGGCTATAAGCCTGTCCAACTGAGGAGGAGAGAGGAAAGGTAAGGTGACCCACCCAAGAGGTCAGTTGTACAATAAGATTAGGAAAGCAAAGATGCATGTGGAGTGACAGACCCTACTGGGAACTCTGCACTCTTCTTTTGATCGTGCTACTCAAGCTTGTAACATGAAGCAGCGAAAATGGTGGCTGCTAATGGGCAGCATTATGCAAGCCAAGATGAATACCACCACTGAACTGGCTCCTCCATTCACCCCATTCCATTTTCCATATACTCATGGCAATGAAAAGGGGAGGGAGAGAGTGTGACATCTTTCACGCACTTACTTCAGCTCCACAGGCCATCGGGGCAGCAGCTAGGATTACAAGAGGTTATCGCTGGTGCATGAAGAGGGGAAAATGACCAAGAATATGGGAAAAACATAAAAGGCACCTAAGTGCCATGGAAGCTACATAGTGCTCTGGTTAGCTGTCAGAGTTGCAGGCAGCTCCTGAGCCACTGACTGACCACTGTTGAATATGGGGTGGTGATTGTCTGATATCTAATAAAGATACAAAATTTCTTTCAAATTTCTGACAAACACTGATTTCATACAATAAATAGATACTAGTATCCATATTTCTCTGACAGAGAGAAACACAGTGGAGGGGCATTTTGAATGGGGAAACTGCTGGAGAAAAAAGGGTTAAGCAACCCACCCACCCCTTCTCTACTTACTCTTGCAACCACCCAAGACTTTTTGTTTTGTTTTGTTTAAACAGGTGCCAGGGACAGATACATATCACTGTGTTTCATATCTAGTGCCACACTTGTAAATTGCCCCAACATTTTAGTTACAATGCTAAAGCACCAGGTTTATTCTTCTGAAAACAGTCCCTTCACTCTCTGCTTACAATGGAAAATGTTTTTAGTCTACATGATCTCCATCCTATATGTTCTATAAAATTGAACCAACTAAACAACAGCTGTTGTCGTTCTTATTTCAACTTATACACTGTCTACATCAGTCAAGAGTTTTGATGGATGCAGTTGAGAATTCAGCTGATGTATCTACTGCTCAGTACACACACATATTTAATAGAAAGCATTCTGCCTCTTGGCTTTTTGATAGAATTCTAAAATGCAGAAGTGGTAGAAATGGCACCAGAAGAACACTTAGGGTTCTGGTTAAGTTTTGGGGTTTTTTTGTTTTAATTGCATATTGGGTAAAGCTAATGGCAGCCCCTCTGCAGAGACATGGAGAATGGAGTTGTCTTCTTCCTACTCCATATCCCCCCACTCCAAAAGCCACTCACTGGGAAACTCACATTCTCATAAGGACACTGCAAGGGAAACAAATTAAGAGGCACTTTAGGTTAAAGAACTTTGAATCACTTTACAATGCTTACTGATGCTGGACTAGGCCCAATGAAGAAAGTTAAGCCTATTACATTAATGCACAATTGGCATAAGATCTTAAATGACCTTCATCTAACTTATGGCAAAAGTAAAATGTTTTTCAAAAATATCAAGACCTTTACTGACTTCCATCCATTCTCAAAATTCCATAATAGTAGCCCTTAATGCAATTCTATTGCTCTCAAATGCAAACTTTGGCCTATGCAACAGAAAACAGAAACTGCGCTGCTTATCTCTGGTCATGTTAACTGTTAGACATTTATGGCATTCAAGCATTAGAACAGAAAAAGTGTCAATCCCTTTTACAGATGTCTTTAAAGCATAGTAAAATACCTGTGAAAATTTACCGTTAATTAAACTACATTGTCCAGAGAGTAACTGGTAATAAACAGACTTCTAACCAATACCTGAGAAATCAAAAGTCACCTCTGGTACCACCAGCTTCCTCAAAAATGAGATGAAAACAGTTATTAGTTCAACAATTCTGTTCTATTTTCAGTGAGTATTTGCTTGCAAGGTTGAGTCAGAGTTGTGTCATAGCTGAGGGGAATACTTTTATAAAAATTTTACTTCAGCAATACAGTAGATCTGGGATGTAATTCAGTTGCTTTAAACTCCCCCCCCCCTTGCAAAGGTGTCTTGCCTTTTTGGATACCAATATAATGGCCAATATTGTCTCACCTACAGCTCTATCTACTGTTAACACTGTTGCGCTACTTCAACGACATGCATCCAATATCCATAAACACCAGCACTCTTTAGCAGGAAAAAAACCTTTTTGTTAGCTTCTTCCATGTATCACACAATGCACAGAGTCTGGACTTACTGAAGGAAAAAAGGTACAACTGATAGTTCATAACGGATGGATATTTCCAACGCTGTAGGCAACAATGTGATTTAGGTTAGCTCCAAGCTGTAAAGCATAAGACATTTTATAAAACTGTTATGATCTCACAATGACCAATCAAGATCAGAATGTCCCTTTGCATGACTGATTCCATCTGACATATTAAGTGGTAGTAAACTTTAGCTGATTTCCTTTCTGGTACCATTTGAGAGCATCTCCTATTGGCATGGAAGCAAAAATGCATTTGTAAACTTCAAATACAGACTGATTATTTTAAAAAGCAGAGCTGTTCACCATGCAGAACAATCTTGGAGGGGGAAAAGGCCATACTTGGAAAGCTGTCTGCAGATACAGATGTATCATATTTTTCCTAAAGTTCTTTCAGGTATCACCAAACCTCTTTAATTTATCAAGTTTTCAAAGTGGGTTCTGTCAACCACATGTCTACAGACATTACAAGATATTTCAAGAATACACATTTTATCAGTTTGGAAAGATGGAAGAGGTTAAAATTTCCGAGTTAGCTTTAAAAACTTGAGGTCTGTTAAGAAATTAGAAATGATTCTAAATGAAACTACAGTGGAAGAGATTAAAGTCCAAATTTCAAGAGAAATTGGCAATAACTTGAACAGCAGCAGCTTTTATCCACACACTGAGTTCTGACAAGACCAGAGTTTTTTTCTTCCAACTCCTGCTGTAAACGACCAACACAAAGTCTTTTTGCACATCACTGTAGCATGAGCTGCTTGAGGTTGTCGTGAAGGATGGTATCCTTGACATCACGGAATACCAGGCGGATGTTTTCTGTATTTATAGCAGTGGTGAAGTGGTGATATAAAGGCTTCTGTTGCTGATCCCTGCGCTTGGTACGAAAACAATCCACCAGGAATTTTTGGACATCTATTAAGCAGTGGGGATCCCCTTCAAATTCTGGGAAATAGTCTTTGATGCTAACTTTTTGCACTTTTTCCTCAAGCAAGTCTGTCTTGTTTAGGAAGAGAATGATGGAGACGTTGCTGAAAACTCGGTTGTTGACTATAGTTTCAAAAATGTTCAGAGACTCTGTAAGGCGGTTTGTTAGTCGATCCTCCATAAGTACCTGGTCAAATTCGCTTGATGAAACCAGGAACAGTATTGAAGTGACGCTGTCAAAGCATTCAAACCAACGTTTTCGCTCTGACCTTTGGCCACCTACATCAACCATCTTAAAGGGGACGTTTTTAATCTCAAAATCGTACTCATGGATCCCTTTTGTCGGTCTTCGTGCCAGCAGAATATCTTGCTGGGAAGGAAGATAATCCTAGTAAAAGAAAAATATGTGTGTCATTGATATGCTCCTCTAAATGCTACAAAAGTAGCTTGTCACTTCAATTTACAAAATATACAGCTTCCAATTGCTAGAAGTTGCAAATTCAAACCAAAAGACTCTTCATCATATATTACTTTAAGAACCCAAATAACAGATAAAACTTACTGGTTCTCCCAATTTATCCAAGTTGTCCAGAAAATATTTTACAGATTCTCCCTAAAAAGAAAAAAAAAATTAATGTAAATAGATAGTGTTCTTATTTAAAACTAGTGGCCAGCATAGGAGCACTGCACCCCAACCCTAACTGTACTCAATTGAAGGTAAGCTCTATGGAAACCAGTGACATTTCCATCAAGTCAAAGGCCACAATTCAACAGCGATAAGTGTATTTATACTCACAGATTTCAAGAGACCTTGGGCACCTTTGTAAAAGTCCTGGCCAAAAGCTTACAAGCTCAGTTTCCATGTGACATAAACAGAAATTAGTCCAAGCTTTGTAATGCTCTTCCAACAATGTTAAACAAAAACTCAAGTTCTAGTTCACCTCACAGTTGAACAATGTGATGTCCATTAATAACTGGAAATTCATAAAAAATACAGACATAGAAGTGTTCATTTCTAAAATGTAAGCAGCTCTAAAAGAAGAAGAGGAGACTGGATTTATACCCCGCCCTTCACTCGGAGTCTCAGAGTGGCTTACAAACTCCTTTCCCTTCCCCTCCCCACAACAGATACCCTGTGAGGTAGGTGGGGCTGAGAGAACTCTGACAAAAACTGCTCTTTTCAAGAACACCTCGGACAGAACTATGGCTTGCCCAAAGTCATCCAGCAGCTGCAAGTGGAGGAGTGGGGAATCAAACCTGGTTGTCCCAGATTAGAGTCTGCGCACTTAACCACTATACCAATCTGGCTTTAGGCTGAAAGGAAACAGTATTAAATTTCAAGGAAAATAAGTTCTATCATGTTTCACAGAGGAGAGTGAAACCTAACATTCTGATCAAATCAATCCTGTAATAGTGCATCTTTATCAGAAGTCATGAACTATGCTTCAAGATACACTTCTGGATAAACTGTTCAGTGTCTTCTATTGCTTTTCAAATTGCACTTCCATGCATCCATGTAGCACACTACTGCAACTGGATTGATGCCAAGAGGTTTCAATGCCAAAAAAGCTCACAATTAGAGGGGGGAAACCCTCTCCTTAACATTTAATATTTTGTTCTAAGAACACTGGGCCAAGAAAAAGTAATCTTCTGGACAGCCTAATCAAAAAGACTCAACTTTCACCTGAAATTGACAAGGAATCTTGTTAAACCAAATACTTTACAAGCAAAATGTTATCCATTCACTGTGTGCGTTCAGACGGTGCATTTAAGTCAATATAGAAGCCGGTTACAAACGGACTACTTACGCGCGATCACACACACACAACATCTGCCTTCCGTCCCTAACCATTGCCAATCGTCGCAAACACCCCTTAAACTGGTGTAATTTGCCACTAGGTACCCAAGTGGTGTCTTCCTGAGGACTCTGGTTCCAGCCGCATTTTCCACGTGTGATTGCTCTCCACCAGTGTAGAGCCACTTCCGCTGGGAAGCCCGAGGTTTCCACTATTCGGCCGCCATTTTTTTTAGCCTCAGCGATATGCGCTTGGGCGAAGCTTCGCCCTGGCATTAATTTTTTTTAAAAAGTGATTAGTTTTAGGCTTTGGACGAGTCCGGGACCTCATGGAGGCACTTTTCGCTATAAAATTTTAAAGGGCAGTGTTCCTCCAGGGCATGCTTTTCGGGACAAGGTGTTCTGCGCCTGCGCGAAGATCTCAATTCTGTGGATGGCTGCCTATGCGCAAAATGTAAAATAACAATAATTTTAAAAACCGCCGACGCGCACCTAGTGTGGACGCCCGGAAGCGATGTGTTGCGCGGTGAGGGAGGTGAGTGTGACCACGCTTGCCCCAGATCAAATTAGTCCACTTGGAACCGGAGCAGTTTAAACCGCTCCTGGCAGGCCGTCTGACCGCACCCACTGTCTATGTGAACAAAAGCTCATTACCTCACAGTTTGTCTTTTTGGATAGACTTGGTTGCTATAGAAATGAATAGCTTGAAATCATCTTTTGAGCAAGTGAAATGAGCAGCTCTAGTAGTTGACAGAAAATTGTAAGCCATAGCTTGGGCACTTTAATCCCTGTGTGTCCCCCACTCATCTCCAGCACCCTTCCATACAATAATATGCTATTACAACTGAAAGACCATGTAAGCTTACAACTGGAGACCATGTAAGCTGCCTTGCAGATGTCATCTGAACCTTGGACTCAGCAGAAGACATATACCCCAGGCAAACACACCGGAGCAGTGGGCCACCCTAACCCACAGTAGAAGCATATGTGGTGACAGTGATAGATGGTATAAGCAACCTAAACGGGCAACCCTTAAGCAAATTGTTGTCTAAGGCCCACTACCTAAGGGAGTGGAATACCGATCTCTGAACAGTGCAGTACATGTTATGAGGGTCCACATGGGGGTGGAAGCATCTCAGAAGCCAATTCTGCGGAGGTCTCATTTGTAGTCTAGTGAATGGCACTACAGCAGTGGTGGATGCCATGAGACTCATGAGGCTTTGAATCTCCCATGAGGAGCTGAAACATCTAGTGTAAAACCTGGCTATCAAAGCCCTTAGGGCAGAGACCCACTGGTATGGTGGAAAAGCCCTACCAGCCACGAAATCCAGTATGGAGCCAATAAATTCCACCTCTTGGGAGGGGACAAGGTGAGATTTATCTAAGTTGATGGCCAGACCCAGCCTGGAGAAAAGGTCTGATGTCAATTGAATACATGATTGGAGGCCACTAGCAGATGTGCCAACTGGGAGCCAGTCGTCTACATAGGGGAAATTACACAATCTTTTGACCTAAGATGGGCCACCCCCACCATAATGCACTCAGTGCCGGCAGATTAATTCAGCCTTACAACCATGCTGTACCAAAGAAAGCACCCAGGAGTCAGAGGTGATGCAGGCCCATTCATCAGCAAAGGATGCCAACCTGTCTAGGAAATATGGGAGAACCACAAGTTGTCCATCCCTGGTCAGAAGAAGAGGCCTCTGGTCTTGATGAGACTCCCTTGGGGATGAAGCTGTTGTGACCTAAACTTGGGCCTAGAGGCCTTGTGCCGCAACTGGTATTGAGGCTGAGCAGGGCAATGTGAGGGGTAGTGAAAGGATGAATACCTTCAGAGTAGGCTCTGAGAGACCCAGGTTCAAATCTCCATCTTTCTGTGGAAGCTCACTGTCACATACTTTCAGCCTAACGTATCTCACAGGGTTTTTGTGCGGATAAAAGGGAGAAGAGGCGAATAATGTAAGGTGCTTTGGTCCCCACTGTGGAGAAAGGTGGGGCATAAATTAATAAATAATAAATATAGCTGAAGATGGGAGGCAGATAAAAGATAGGTTGGTGAATGGCTGAGAAAGTGAGATTGAGGCAGGGAAAGGGAAGAAGGTATGGGAGTTGCCAGGAGGAGGGAATAGTTTGGGGAGGGTGGTTCCGGGGAAAGTAAGGTGCCACCCAACACATCCTTGAGGGTTCCCTACCATGCAAGTGAGCCTGGTCCAGTGGCCAGCACCACACAACCGGGCCAGTTTTCTTAGGTAGAGGCTGCTGTGGGGTGAGGAGCAGGCAAGCTTAACACAGAGGGACAGATAAAGGCAGGTTGGCTGTTGGGTGGGAAGGAGATAGGAATGGTTCTTTGTACTTGGGAGATGTGTCATGATTCCAGATCTCCAGGCAAAGCAACACACATCCAGCCATTATGACCACCTCACCTTATCCCCAGCCAACCTGACTGCCACCACTGTACTAGTCACTCACAGAGGAAGCACAAGCATGCTTTGCCTCCTTCCCTATTTTGCAGACAGGACTGCTCAAATGAGAAAGCAGCACACTGCTGTATTCATTTCTTGTGTCAAGGAAGCCACCAGTATGGTGGTGGCAGCCGGGCTGGTGAGGGATGGACGACGTGCCGGCTGCCTCCATCAGCAGAGCCATGGAAGCTGGGACTGTGATCAGCACCAAAGGGAAGAAATTCCAATACAACCCCACGTGCATTCACATGAACACAGGCCAACTGATGCAGCTGATGTCTGGGCCTATCCATTTTTGCAGGGGCAGGTATGATGGGAGAAGAGTCAGCAACGCAGCAGAACTCAAAAGTTGCAAGTTGTGAAGCTGGCTGCTCTTCAAAGAAGTTCACTAGCTTGTGCAAATTTATGAAGGAAAAACATCAACCTCTCCGTTCCCCATAATTTAAAATTTGCAATGTGGTTCTAGACGGAAAAAATATGCAAAGCCCCACACATCTGGATTATAAAAGATTGGGCAGGTATTTTAGTTAATAAAAATGTTGTGTTAAATATTAGCTAAAACACTATTAATATATGTTAATATCCTTATTAAATACTAACTATTTAACTAGTACTTTTCTGCATTTCAATAATTTATGTGGAACAAAGTTTGAGTCCAGTGGCACCTTTATGACAAAGTTTTATTCAAGTTCAGGACCCCTATGTTAGCTGAAAATTACCCCTCCCCCCACACACACAAAATTAGAAATTGTACCAAATTTCATAGAAATATTTGAACAGGAAAAAGTAAGCACTGTAATCTGCTTAATGTCATAAAGAAATCTGTGGTGAAAGAGGGAGCTGAGCTGCGGTTTCTCATGACCAAGGGATAGCACTAAATGATGCATTTCTTGGTGATACAGTAAACCATACTTTTATAATATCAATGACAAAAAACATCTGGATAAGCTATTGCAAGGCTATATAATAGCATGCCGTAAATTTTCATAACTTGCAATTGTACTACAAAAACTAATTAAAAGATAATACCTACTTTCTACATAATTATCTTAGACTGCCTTGCAACTTCAGGTCAAAAAGGATAGCAGTGATTAGTCCACCAAATGCAGTAAGCTGACCAATGCAGTGTGGTTGAAAGAACCAAAAAAACCTGACTTCCGGTGGATGGCAGCACGCTGAGCAGTCGCAGCTCCCGGACCTCCCGGGGATGCTATTTGCGCACGAGCAGGAAGGAGGGGGTACGCAGGCTCATTGCCCCCCAAAGAAGCCCGGCGAAGGGCTTCTAGCCATGGGGCTTTCGAGAGGTCGGCTCTTCGCCAGCGCGATGCTGGAGAATTGAGGCGCCTCTTCGCCCCG